CTTTAAAACAATGCTTAAGATATTAGTTGACAGAGCTCTAATGCGGCACATCTCTTTTTTGTTTGATGGCATTTCGTTTGACGCTCGATCGATTCACGTTGTGTGTTCACGTCACAATAGCCGATGTAAACAATCTGTTCCCAGATTTCCACTCTTTATGCTGTGGGATTTGGTTTTGACTTCATACACTATAAACAGTCTGCCTGTTTGCTGTTCAACAAATAAACTCCTAAAGACATGGCTATGAAAAGCCAAGTTTTTTGCCTACGTTTTAACTCGAAAACGAAGCAAAAACCAGCGACAAAAATACAGAACCACGTTTTCTGTTACATTGAAGACCACATGCAAAAATTCAGCTAATTTGGAGCAAAAAAGAGAAAAGCAACCAAAATCGTCACTTATCCCCTTTTATGACTAGCTTCTTCAAATAGAGCTGAAAATAAACCACTCCATTATAGCAGAGCTCCAGGAGCCCGGAGGACTGCCAAGCAGAGCCCCACACTTATATAGGAAAGGAAAGGAAACCCATGAATTGACTTTCTCATGGTTATCACGGCTAGTGGTATTGTTTCTGGGCACGTATAAAAGACAGCGGCGACAGTGAAGACAACGACACAGAAGACAACATCACGCAAGATGGCGGCCATACTCCGGCTAATAGGTTGACAGAGACATGCAACCTTCGTTTACAGTGTTCTTCTTTGATATTGGACATTCCTTGTTTGATTGGATCACAAGGCTCATGTCAGGTTAACTTGCAAACAGGGTCGGGTTGTTCAGAAGCCGGTTAACGCTAACCCAAGATTAAAAGTTAACCCAAGTGAAATTTTTCTTGTATAAAAATGTTTTTCACTGCTTTTGTTTTGCGTATTTTGAGATTATTCAAACTCAAAACAGAAGGCAAAACAATATACAAAAAATCTCACTCAGAAGTTACAAAACTCAAATCAAAATTGTAGCTTATCCAGGGTTAGCTTAATGAAACTTTCAACAACCTGGCCCAGGAGCTCTGCTTTTAAGCTTGGCTAAATCTATATATTAAGTTTATTTACTGAAATTGGAACATCAAAGAAACAATAAACTCTCTTGTTCAACTTTTTTAGTCATTTTAAAGAATGCAGAGTTCCCACTGGATTATAAATAAAATTTTAATGACGATATGGTCGCGCAATGCCCACTTGATATCGTAGAATCTGTTCAATTGAAAACTTGCATCATGATAAGAATTAGTTAAACTCTAAGGCTTGTGTCGCAGTTACATTTAATTTGTGATGTTGTGTGTACTAATTAAAAAGGACGTGACAGAAATATGAAAGAAAACACTATTTGGAATTGTTTTCCTGAAAAACCGCTGATCAGCCAATTGACTCACTGACTTGTGACTCATAGACTTGTGCTTGTATCCGGCCGTCCCCAATAGCACATAAGCTTCTTTTATGCTTATGCTTGTGTTGCAAGTGAGGATCAGGCGTGAAGATTGACAGGGTCACACAAACTTCAGATAGTTAAATGACTTAGGTTGCAAATTTAACAAGAGCACTTTTAGCATGTTTTTAACCAGGAAATAACTTAAATTGCCCGGTCTTGAACTTTTTTTCAAGACCTGATCTTTATGAAGATTTGATCTCCCACGTGAATAAAAGCTGCGTTTGTATGGAAAGGACGATAAATTCGTTGATCCTTAGCTATATGTGATAAAAACGATAAAGCTCCGTCAAATAAGCTTAATTGAAAGTCAAGGGAAATTAATTCCTTCCCGGTCTTATGGCGACCTCACCATATCAAATCCTTTACAACAAACAAAACAAACAGATACGAAGTAATTAGCTACTACATAAGCCTAACTTAATTGCGCTTTCCTTGTACATATTGAATAGGCAAGGGGTGAAAAATAAGTTTAAAGCAAAAAGCAAACGTTAGAGCAGTACTTCGTTTCTAGGAATACTTCCACAGATGACCAGAAGATATCCAGATCATCACGACTGAAAATAAGCTAAACATCAGACTAAACAACATTCAGTTAAGGTTACTTACCACGTCCGGCTCTGATGATGTAGTGACTACAATTTTAGCGGAATTCTCTGTTGTAGCTGAACTCATACGGCTTAAAACCAATGTAAAAGACCGATTTTCACAAAGTGAGACCACGAGTTTACAACTGTAAGGTTTCCACCCCAATGTACTTGGTTTCAACACAACTAGTTCTCGGTCACGAAGCGATGATTCACCAGGTTAAAATGGCGAACTTTCAGGATCCTGGCTTTTAAAGTTCCTTTTCCGTCTCGAACACCAGCAGCACCACAAGAAACAAACCACAACTGAAGAAATTGACAGCAAAGAAATATTGTGAGTTTCCTTACCAGGTTCCCAGAATTATAAAAACAAGAAATAATCCAGAATTTCCTTTACGTCCAACACACGTGGCGACAACAAAAATTTGCAGTAACGTTCACAGTCCACTGAGAATCTTGCACAAGTCTGACTCCCACCTGTTTAAACACTGTTCAAAGAAACAATACAACGTCGTGAATCCTGGCCCGCAAATTGAAGCCTTACAGGCTTAAAGTTGTTTGATAAAAATAGCCGTAATATCAACCAAACTAGACTTCTTCCGAATCCCTACACAGCGCCCACAACAACCAACTTGATCGCTCGTAACCCCGTCATCAATCTAAGGAGTGATATGATTGGTTAGAATGAATACGCGAACACTCTGGCGAATAAAATCGCTTGAAAGAAGTTCGTTCTTTTTCTTTTTATCCTTTCGCGCCAAGGATCGACTGGTCAAACAGCTGAAATATATACGTATGACTGCACCAAAACAGTGAAGGATTTACTTTTTCCCTGTCTTTCGGATACAGTTAGAATAGTCCTGTTATTTGTCACCTCGCGTAGAGTTACTTTCCCTGAGCTCTCTATGAAAATTACTTGGGCTGTGCTCACTGCCTGGGCATCCGTAGAAAGACTACTTAAAGACTGCTTATTAAAGACTAAAGTAGTGTTGCGTTCAGACATTGGTTACCGGTGTCACAGTGATATGTGTATCCCCGTGATATGTGTATCCCCGCACACATATCACTAGTGATATGTGTATCCCCTGTGGGGATACACAAAACAC